AATAAATAATATATCAATACTCTTCTCTCTCTCTCTCTCTCTCTCTCTCTCTCTCTCTCCCTCATATGTGTATATATATTGAAAGAAGTAAATAGTCACTGTCTGGATGAATTTTTACAAATAATTCTTTCAGTTTTTTTAATGCAATTTCTATCATTTTATATAAAATATAATGTATATGTTTCCGATTTTTATTTTTGAATTCAAAGAACAATGTTTTACGTACGTAATGCAGATGATTTAGATCACGGAAGTTTATTACCAATGGTCTCGTCGCATAGTTAAGGAACTAGTTTCGCTTATTTCGTAGCTTTACTCTCTATCGTTGTCGTAAAGTCTCAACGCGCAAATATATTTCCTGGTATATCTTGCTTATACCCTCGTTTCTTTATTTCGCAACTCGACGCGCCATCAAGGATTGCAATCCCCTCGTGAGACTATAACGTCGTGAACTTTCTTACAAATACGTTGAACTTCATTTCTAGAAACTGCAAAATGTAGTGATTAACATATTTTATTACAAACCATCGTATATTGTTATTAGAAATTCCAAGATGATAGTAAAAACAAACAATTTTAAAATATAAATCAATACAAGGAAAAGAATTTCGGTTATATTGATTAATTGTGTTAACTAAAATAAATTTCCATATAATCAAAAAGATATTAAGCATATAAGCGTAGGGAAGAAGATGTATGTTAGAGAAAACTTAATGAATTTAATTAATACGCACATAAAGGAAAATACAGAAAATAATAAAAAATTCAAATAAAAAGAAGAGTTTTTTGACATTTATATCGCTATTCAACTTGAATCTTGAAAGAGTCTAAAAGTGATAAATCCAAGTTGGAATTAAATGTCAACTTTAAGTACACATATTATAAATTTATTAAAAAGATTAAAATATATATATATATATATATATATATGTGTAAGGAGAATGCAAGAAAGAAGAGAGAGTTTTGAACGCAAAGGATTTATCGCGCGTCATGATATCTAAGATTAAATATTTGTCCTTTGACTATTGATACTTTAGAAAGAGAGAGCGAAACGGACCAAGTCACTTCACTCTTTCTAAATTGATAGTGATAACTTGATTTGAAATGCGCAGCCTATACTTACGCGCAACTTTCCGTTGTAAAATCCGACTGTATAATCTTCATCTTCATCTGTCCGGGGCGAATTTAGATGCACCATACAACGTTGCAAATACAACGAAGAAACATACGTCCCAACGTTAGCAGAAGAAACATTGATGTTTCACGCGAGAAGTTCAATGCTTACGATCGCGTGTCGTAGGCTGAATATACATATGTATGATGTATCTATATACATATGCACATACGTACGTATATATCGAATACATACCGAAGGCATATGGCGGCCTGACTCGATTACTTTGGCGCACTTGTCGTGGAGTTTGGATATAGAAGGCGATAGCGTCTCGCTATGTGGTTGAACACACGGTAGAAACGCAACATAGGGGAGAATCGAGGGGTATGAGCGTAAAGGTTGATTCACGCTCGGGGTATGATAGTATAGTTCTCTTTGCGATAAAGGCGATAAGCGGCATCGATGCGTAACAACTCTGAATTTATTCCGGATTTCTAAGCAAATTGTCCTCGCTGGAAAATTTCTTCTTTTGGAATATCAGAGAGAAGCATCAAACCAACTTGTGTTGTAGATTTATTGTGTGTCCCGCGGGTCGATATTTTCGCGCTTTAAATTCGCTGCTTTTAAACTTTTAGAAACACTACATACATTTTTTTAGATATTCTATAAAATTTTAATATTTAGGTAAAAATAGTTAAAAGTATTTCCGAAGTATTTCGAAGTATTTTAAAGCAGCGAATATATATAAAATTTCAACACATTGCGCTACTATTCAGTAGAATTTGTTTTACAGTTTTACTAGATGAGCTTAGATCGTATGTCGACCGTATTTTTTGTCGACTATTTTGTTAAAATCTTGTTCGCAAGATTGTAAATGGAATATATTTGTAAAATGTTTGCATGAATGCGGCTTTGTTTTAATTTTCAATCTAAAAATTTTCGAAATAAAAATTTTTAAATAAACATAAGTCAAATTAATATTGCCGTATTTGCTCCATTTAAATTCCATCAAGTTCGTGTTTGGTCAACATTTGGCAACGAATACCACCGCATGAGCCGCATCAACGAGCAATTTGCAAACGTGAATGACACGCGAAACTCGCTTAAATCATCAGATGGTATGGTCAAAGGTTAATTTGCCGAAGCACAGGAGACAGAAATCGAGGAGCAATTAAATAGCAACCGGAGTATTCTATTAAATTATATCGTAAATAGTAAAGCGCATCAACAATCAATCGGTTTCCAAACATTCCAAATATTTCCTATAAGTATCCAAAATTAATTTGTAAATTTTTTACGTAATCAGCCAATCAGTTTATACTAATATTTGTATAAATACGAAGTACTAAATGCAATATAGTATTCGCATTTAATCTTTGCTATATTAAAATAGACGGAAATAATTTATACTTGTTTTGTTGAGTTTTATTTAAAATTGTATTAATATGTATTTTCAATATCGAAAAAAATATTGAAAAACGTAGTGGCTTTTTAATTTCCCATGTATTTATTTTTGTATTCAGTCTTTGATGTAGTAAAAACTTAATAATTATCATATCATTTTTTCGGCAATTTATTTGTAATTACATGCATTTATTTATTGCATTTAAAATTAAAATATCAGATTTTAGATTTGTTCATCTATGCAATTTAATATTATATTCAAATATATCTTTTGTTTTATTATTATTATTTTGAGTTTATCTCATTTCTCGGTTTTTTTTACTATACTAACAATTTTGTAATTTTATAAATATATACAAATAAAAATTTTATTACAATATTTAAAATTATAGTTAATTTAAATAATATAAATATCATACTTATATAACCAGGACAAAAATAGATAAAATAGATAAATGTTATTAGTTGATTTAATGTAAAAAAAAAAATTATTTAAAATTTTTTGTGACAAAGCTTGGTATTTTATAATTTGATCCCATTACGATTTCATGCGAATATCTAACTAGTATTAATGTTGCTATAATTTTTAAATGAAGATATATTTTAAATGCATTCTGAATGTAGAAAAAGTAGACAATTTAAGAAATATTTCAAAATCCAAAAGTAAA